ATGGATAAATTTAGCTGTTGTGTTCCTGGATGCACCAAAAACTGGAGAAATTCACCAAATATTAATTTCACACTTTACCAAGCGATCCTTAAGTAAAAAAGGTGTACGTACAACTGATACGTAATGTAACCTTGTAGAAGGACGCACTAAGCACAAGGATTTGTGGAGCGCATTTTCCAAGAGGAATGAGGATGAGTAGAATTTAACTTCCTTCAATATTTCCTTGGAATATCATCCCAAAGAAGCGCCGTAATATACAGAAATCGCAGCTACCTCCGAAAGGTGAAAACAAGTGCCCACAACAAGTGCTCCGATTGTTGACAGCAACGAATGTGAGAACCTGCAGCAATCTGAAAAATATGCTGTTGGCCTATTTATACGCTTGCAAAACTGTAGTTTTTATAATCATTTACTCTTCGATCGAACTGACTCTTGTCTTCGATCGAACTGACTCTTGTCTTCGATCGAACTGACTTTTGGTTTCGATCGAAACGACCTTCGATCGAACTGACTTGCTACCTGCTGTTGATGTAAACACTGATAATACAATTCAGAAAGACCAAGCTTCCCAAACTGAAGTTTGTACTGAAGACCAAGCTTATCAAGTGGAAGGTCTCAACGAATCAAAAGATCTTAAAGATGAAATCGTTTCTATAAAACAAGAGATTGAATCGCTGAGGAAAGCCGTCAGTGATTGAAACAGGCACAAAACCATTTTTCTTGTAAATTCCAAGCCTGCATATTCCATCATCAAGAGACTCTCCTTCCTTCAATCCAGTGTTCTTGAATTCAACAATCTGGCTGTCATTCATGACTCCGTCAGTAGACGTACCTTAAAATGGATGTGTCTCAGATACAAGAAAACTTGACTAGCGTACCTTCTGGCTAGTTTCATTTTCAAATATTTGGATGATACTTGATTCGTATTCAATACCATCTCTCATGGTATAGCATTTTGAGAAATGAAGATTAAGACCTCCATCAGGGTCAAAAAGATTATGGGATAATCCATTGTCTATGTCATCATTTATTGTGACTCTGAAACCACAGAAAAAGGACTCAATGAATTCTGAAACAACAAAACCATGCAAAATGGTGGGAACAACCTAATTTTACGTATGCCATGATCGTATTACCTTTTTCATCAAATCCTCTTGTTTTTGTGATTCCTTTAATTTGCTCCCCTACAAGCAAGCCATTGCTTAGGAATTGCAACTGTATAATGTTCAGCTGATTTTGGTAATTCAGCACCAGGTATATAGCTTTCAACTAATTTCAACTCAAAACAGCCCCATAGTGTGCTTTGAAGCGAAACTGAGCCAGTCTCACGCACAACCTCAAAATGGCCAATATTTCCAGTTGATTTGAGATTCAGTTTTTCAACCATACCTGTCACTATTATTGATAAAGCAACAGAAAAACCATTTTGTTAAACTCTATTTTGAATCCAAATTTTCCCATGAATTGCTATTTTGAATAATTTTTTGTTGTGTGATATTGAGACTGGTGTAGACATTGATCTATGTCTCAAGTGACTACAGGACTCTCTTGCCCTTTAAGATGGAATCCCTTCTAACCAAATAAAATTAAATTTGTAATTAAACTGAATTTACTCTAATCATGGCTGGCTGGTATTCTTTAGCATGTCTCTCTTAAAATGTGAAAGCTATAAGATGTTCAGGGAATGTTTCCCTTGTTCCTTTTAACCCTTAAGAGTGTTTGGCTTCTAATTTCTCCTTACAGTATCATCCTTGAATCAATTATAAAGGTCATGAGAAAAAAAGGAAATGATCTTCAGTTTAAGAAGCTCCAGATTGTTAAACAAATTCTCCTTGTCAGTACCACAGGAAATGTAAAGAGAACAGTGTGGAGAATATGAAAACTAATTTTACTAGTTTTTAATTTTATTTATCTAACTTAATGTTAATGTTATTTCTTAACCTCTGTGTGATAGTGTGAAACCATTAGCCAAAAAAAAAGTGTTGAAACCATCAAAATTAGTCTTGCATTTTCATGAATTTACTATTTTTTAGATTCAATTCGTCAAACCATCAAGTATAACAAGCTGGTGTCCACTTCTACAGGGGACTTGCGCAACAATCCTCAGGCTGAAGTGATGGCTAAGATGAACTTGTTTCATGCACAGCGTAATCTGTACATTTCTGGATTTTCCTTGATTCTTTTGATGTAAGCTGTGTTATTAAGTATTAACCTTAAAACTGATAGAAATGATTGCAACAGAACTTCTCCTTACCATATCACCATATTATCCAATAAATAAGAAATAAGAGTAGAGGAAAATATCAGCTACAGTAAGTGGTTATTTGCTTGCAAGAGCACACGATTCTTTTGACTAAGTTTTAATGAAAATTGAAATGGTCAGAATGGTTAACTGCTTCTTGCGTCTTTGTAGTTAAGGGATTTAATTATTGCTTTTGAAATGAGTGAGTCCCAGGCAAGAGGCATGTTATAGGAATCATTTAACTTGAGTTTGAGCCCAAAATTCTACCATGGATCTCTTTGTTGAAAGTCTATATATGGAAATGAGGAAAACTGAACTATTAATAGTAAGTACTGTATGGGAAAATAATTTAAAGAAGTTAGCATCACTTACCTGAAAATGATCAGTCTGCTTGATAACACTTTTTTATCATGGAAAAGTAAGGAAATTTTGAAAATCAATTTTTGTGGCTATTATAAATTTTCACCTTGTTACCCTTCACAGAGTGCTACGTCGTAATGTTGCAAGGCTTCTGTCCGAGGTAGAGACAGGGAAGAAAGATGAAGATAAAGTAAACCAAGAGCACAAAGAATTGAGAGAAACCTTGGAAGATAAATCCAAGGAGCTATCTGAACGATCTGAAGGTGCTGCTAAGTATAACACTTTTTAACAAGGGGGGGGGAAGGGGGGGGGGCAAGGAAAAGGTTAAACTGTCTTCAACCATTTAGCCCTTTCACTCCTATGATCTGAATATGACACAGAAGGAAAAACAGAGACAAAGACAGAGACAAAAGATGAAGATAAAATGAACCAAGAGTTGAAAGAATTGAGAGAAGCCTTGGAAGATAAATCCAAGAAGCTTTCAGAACAATCTGAAGGTGCTGCTAAGTATGACACTTTTTAACAAGGCAGGGGGGGGAGGGGAGGGGAGGTCAAATTGTCTTTAACCCTTTAGCCCTTTCACTCCTATTCTCTATACTGTTTTTCCAACATGTCTTTAAAATTTAGCTCTGAGGATTTATTGGCCCTCAGTTAAAGGCTTCTTTTCTTCATGTCTCATTGCCTTTCTGCAATAAAATGTATTGATACTGTGAGCAGAAAGTTGACTGTTTGATGATTGCTCCAGGGAGGTGAACTTCTCCATACAATTTCTATACATCACCCAGCAGAAAGGTAATGAGAAAACACAACCAATCAGTTGACAGGTTTTGTCTTGATATAACATAAAATGCTATCAAATAATTTTCAAGGAACTGTGTTCTTAAGCAGCTAAAAGGAAGCCCCCTTAAACATCAGGATGTATTTTCTCTACACTGTTCTCTATGCATTTCCTAAAGTGCTGACAAAAGGAACTTGTTTACCAGTCAAGAGCTTCTTTAGCTGGTGATCATTTCCTTAACCCTTTAACTCCCATGAGTGACAAAGACAGAATTTCTCCTTACAATATCAATGCAGTATCAAGCAGATAAGTGATAAGAAAAAAGAAAAATATCAATTAGGGGATTATGAGTTCATCCAATGCCAAATTCTTCTAACTAACTCCACAAGAACTGTATGGTGGATGGGAAGTTGAATTACTAATGCAATCTTGGAAGTTAAAGGGTGAATGTGTGATTCAGGGGTAATATTGTGGAGAGAAATTAGATGTCTGTCACCCTTAGAGGCAAAGGTTGGTGGTTTACTGTTATAAAACCATAAAACCAAAATCAAGATAGTAACAACAGCCCAGTAGTAAAAAAATATCATAAGGAGCCAATCAGAACTCAAAGTTAAAATAAACAAACTACCTGAAGCTCAGGGAACGTTTCATATCTGATTTGTTGCACATTTTTGACCTTTTCTGGTTTGGTTTTAATCCTGGCAGAGCTTGAAAGGACGAAGAAAGATTTGGCTGCATTGAAAGAACGGCATGCTGAACTGACACGGGACTACGACAAGCTTTTGAAGGAATATGCTAAAGCACAGGTGGGAGGGGAGGGCTGGGAGATGGGTGTAGATTTAGCCTGAGAGCAGGCCCTTGTCACTTGCGCTGCAGGACACGCCTTTGTCCGCCCGCAGGAGGGTTGGGAGGAGTCGAGAAGCGATTAACCTGGGGTCTGGCACTAATAATGAGGGCCTGAAAGGACGCTATTGTCTTTTCATCATCTGCGTTCGCTCACGAATGCAGCATTCTGGTTGGCGAAAAATAACAGGTCCTGTCATTTTGAAACAAACTAGTACTTTATATCGATGTCAAACACAGACGTGAGCCAGCTTGTGACTTCTCCAAGGCTTCACATATCCTGCGGACGAAGAAACACTCATACCGAAGCGCTGATAATGTTGGCCGGTTCATTGGGAATAAGAGGTTCTAGAAAGGACGCAGAATTAATGTAGAAGGAGATTTAGGGGAGTATTTTCCGTAAAGAAATAAGGAGCCAGGATTGTAAAGAGAATCAACTTGTTTTCTCGTAAAACTTTTTGAGCGTTTTGAAACTCGATCCGAATATTTCGAGAATCGAGGTTCCAGGTTCGAGTTTCGAGTCGAGATTGACATTTTACCAGTTACCGTTTGTTGTGTCGTCTAGACTCAGTCAAGTTACTCCTTTCATTGCTATTGCTCAACTGAATTTTATTAAAGAATCAACAAGCTATATTCACAATACAATACTAGGAATCAGTAATACTACTTTAACATAGGAATGTACTTTTACAATCATGTACCGATCGTGTCTTACAGGATATAGCGTGACTATAGTAACGCTTAGGTAACGCAATACACTACACCGTTACCACCTGAGGTTCGTTTTAATTACTTTTGTTTTTCTTCCATCAGGCCAAGCTGGAGAAAGACGTGAACAAAACAGGAGAAGAAAAGAAAGACAACTGAGGACATGTGACCATCATCTGGATTATTTAATAATTATTATTAGTAATATCACACATTTATTTGATAGAACAGATCTAAAGATAGCTCGTCACATAGTCTCTGTTTAAAGCTTGTGAGAAAACTTAGAAGTCAGTAACAAAAATCGCTGTGATGCTTGTTTGAAAGTTGAAGTAAGTTTGCATAAGATTTTATGTTGAAAAAAAAAGAGAGAGAACTGAATTAGTTGTAACTGTGCAGAAACCTTAGTGAGAGACTTGACTATCAAGTGTTCTTCCTGTCAGTTAAAACACAGTGAAAATGAATTATGTTGACACTAGGGTAATCTCCTCAATCTCAGTTTCCCAAATAGTCTTTTAGGCCTTTAACTTCCAATATCTGATTGTATATTCTCCCCTCCAGCTTTTACACAATTCCTGGTAAATAAGTGAGACGAATTTGGTATTAGATCAAAATTACAACTTCTACCTGATAAGTTTGGGTATTCTCACTTGCCCTTTGCTGGTTAATGTATGCCATACATAATGTATGCCGGGATATTGTAGAGAGAAGTTTCATGTTAATCGCTTCCGAGAGTTAAAAAGTAAACGAGTTGCTGTATGGATAGTTCAAAACGTCGTGGGATAAGAAACTTTCGTCAAGTGTCTATTAAAGGAAGGGAATTCTGTGAATTTTTTTATACATTTAACTGTAAGGTTACTTCCCATCTTCAAAGCCCAAAAAAATCGATTTTTCTGTTATTTGACAAAACTGAATTCAAAGATTCAACCTAACGTTTCCATAAAAAAATTCCTGAAATCTTTAAAGACACCCAAGTTATTTAGAAAAGCTTACTTTCGGAAAAAAGTTAATGGAGCAGGAAGGTGTCAGTCTCGGACTTAGGCGAATCCCCCGGGGGAATTTTCGCAGCAACCACTCACGTTGAGGCTCGATTTCTATGTTATTTCCAAATTTTGTTTACATCACGCAGTTTACTAAATTCACACGTGGAAGCTCTTTGTTTATGAATAATTCTTTGCTCATGGAAAAATCAAAAGTGACAGAAAGTCCTTGGTTAAAAAAACAGGCCCAAAGAAGAAAGAAAGAGTACCATTCTGTTAAGAAAAGAAAAAAATTCCTTTAGGAAAGCGACTGGTACTGACGGAGCTCTCGATTCGTTGGCTTCCTCGTCAGCACATTTTACGGTTTTTCCATTTTTGCCGCGGGTTTTTCTTTCGCCTTTGTGTCGTCCTCGTCGACGCTCCACTGAGCGATCGAGTTAAGAGAAAATAAGTGTCTGCAATGGATCACTTTTGCCGGGAAATCTTGATCACTCTTCATTGAAGCCAGAAGGTCCCATCGTCCTATTGGTTTGCGGTTTCAGGAGGCGAGATAATCTCCTGGCGTGGCGCGAGTTGTTTGTGAACCTTTATGAGCTAAAATCTCGAATTTGATTTGGGAGGAATACAACCACTTTTGACCGAATTTTTTTAGAGAATATGGATTTGACAGATTTTCGTTAAGTTAAATTTCGCCAAATCATCCTAGGAATAATGACAAACGAAAGTGTGTCGGGAAATTTTGGTATTTGATTTGTCCCATTGCGTCCATTTACGCAAGATGACTCGCATATTCTTCTCGAAAAAAACGCTACCGATATCTAGACGACCAATCAGGATATCGAAAAAGTCTGACACTTTTGTTGATTGATGGCTTGTAAATGAGACTGAGCAGCCATTTTGTCGTGCTGCAGCATCCGATACCCGATAAATTCAATAGAGGAACTTTCGGTTGTTTTGTGCCCTACCAGCTCCTGACACTTCCTTAAAAGAAAAGTTCGCTCACTAGAGAGATACTTTCAGCACGAGAAGATAAAATTCGTATCCCTAAACGGCCATGCATAAAAATTTATCAATTCGAAGGAACAGTTTTGGTCCCGGTCCTCATTTTTGTCAACAAAATAAACACATACCGCTTAACAAGACGGACCACGTGCAAAGCAGTCAATTGTCTCTCAAATGTTTTGCGTGTTAAATATTAAATAGTGATATCTCATTTACATCTACATCTACTTTTATTACGTTGGTAAATTCTGTAAAGACGTCACACAAACCAAGTCGCGCGCAAAGTAAGAAGACTATATTGAAGGCTTGAAATTATATCACGATCGATTTTCATCAAGAAATGGGCCGGGAATATTCCACAATAGTGCAAATAAAGCGATTGCGTGACGCTCGGTAAGCTGTAATATCTGATTGGCGCGAGCAACATACCACTCTCTGTACGCTAACATAGATGTTGTTTTATTTAATTAAAAATTTTTCCCTTCTATGTCTACCTCCAATCGTATTCAACCAGTCAGGGGAAGTGAGTGAACATTTGTAAATATGACAAATATGCCGAGTAATTATCCCTCGATAGCTTTGACGGTGGATGTTAGAAGAATTTGGAAGACATTTTAGCTTCAAAAAATGACTACCCAGGGGCATCTCGCTGCTGACTTTCTGTACGCTGAAGCCACTCTTATTTCTTCGTTCTGTCTGCCTTTTATTTCATGCAAAAGGTAAGCTTTTTGAACACAAAGAATCTAAAAACTTAGAGCGTAGACGGTCGACCATTTCCTCTTGGGGTTGATCATTGCAATGAATGATTAATGGTTTTACATGTTGCATTCTAGATGGAATAAAATTTTTAACAACAGGATCTTGGCTGCTTTGTTTGCGTATGGAAAATTCTACGTCAACGTCTTTGCGTTGGTTATAGCCCTACTTTTCTCAGGTAATCTCCTCATTTTGACGTGAAATGACGAGTCAGTTGTCTTGATAGCGCATTTAATAGACGATCCATACTGTAACGATAAGTTTTGGTTAAAAAGCCATCATAAGAAGTTCAATTGCACGTGCCTGTTCGCCGCTTCTATATCGGCCGGGTACTTTATGCCGGCACACTCTAACAATATTTCGTTATACCAATAACACTTTGCCATCTTTATTGCTCAAATTTTCCTTTCAGTTGTTGCATCATATTCATGAATATTAATAATGTGGTGTCAGAAAAACCATTCTGTTACTCTCTATTACTGATACCGTCAGTGTTTGCTGATTAAAATATATAGACCACATCGTATTACTCTCACTTTTCACTAATAAGTGTGGCATCGAGAATCACTGTATGACTGTAAATTTTCTGCTAATGAAAATGATATAAAGTTTATTGGGGTTAAACTAAAAACTGTGATTTGTGAAATTAAGTCATAGAAAAACAAGATGCCCCCAGGCACCTGCCAGCGAAAGGCTGAAAAAGCTATCGTAATAATTTTCTATAAATTTTTAAACATAGATACCGTGAGTGTTTGTTGATTAAAATGTATAGACCACGTCGTATTGCTTTCACTTTTCACGAATAAGTGTGGCAGCGAGAATCACTGTATGATTGTAAATTTTCTGCTAATTAAAATGATATAAAGTTTATTGGGGTTTGTCGGCTTACGTAGTAGAAAAACGAGAAGCCCCTTGGCACCTGCCGGCTAAAACAATCGTAATAAATTCAATTACACGTGCCTGTTCACCCCTCCTCTATATCTGGGTATATTAGCCACGTCCGTTCTATGAACTTAAATGTCATAAACACTATAAGTGTTTGTTCATTAAAATATATAGACCACATCGTATTGCTTTCACTTTTCACGAAAAAGTGTGGCAGCGCTAAGAGCAAAACAGCTCTTTTTTTTCTGTTTGCGAAATAATTTAATTTTCGTGCTAGCATATGTTAATTTCAGCTGTAAAAATAACTGTATTAAATTTGTTTCAAACTCATTATCGTACTTTAAAATGCCCAAAAACAAAAGAAAAGAAAATTTGAACGAAAGCAGGTGTCTTATCATTTCATTCAGCTTGTTGATCATGGCAGCGAAAGAAACCTCTGTTGAGAAGTAAATAATTTTTCCCAATTCTTGTTTCAAAAGTGTTCTTTTATTCTTAGATTTTGAAAGATCTTTCTAGGGGTAGTTTGTGAAGAAATTTAATTGCCAGACACGGAATATTTTAGAAACCCTGTTCAGCTGCTGGACGTAGAGACACTCGAATGAATCGAAACAAAATAGATCAAAGTTCAAGTATTTATACAGTGGATTAACGGACTCATAAAAATCGTAAAGAATCAAAAACTCTTCATCATCTAGGGAATCATCGGCATAAGCTACTACTAGCGCGTTTCTGGCATCTTCAAAAGACATCATCGAAGGGCAAGTTAACCACCGTCTTCAGTCTGTCGGCGAAATCTTAAAGGACAACAAACGTTAAACTTTCGCGCCCTTAAACGGTACTCGACCCAGTTCCGAAGACACATCCAACCGTCGTAGCCAACCGTAGTCGGCATCCTTAAAGTCCCTAATAACCATGATCGTGTTACAGTGCACAGAACTCCATTTTTTCTCGAACAACTATCCATCATTTTCACACCACGAGTAACACGTTTACTATAGGTAATCTGATATCTTCCATCTGTGCAGTAGTATCGCATTTCTCCTAAAGCGCGGTAAAATACACGTTAAAAAACACAGAAAAGCCAACATTTCTCATTCTAAAAGATGATCCCATTTTACGAACCTGTCATTTTGACACAAACTAGTGATTTATATTGATGATGTTCAAGGCTTCATACTTTCCCGCGAACGAAGAAACACTCGAAAAGAAGCGCTGATAATGTTGGCTGGCTCATTGGGAACAAGAGGTTCTAGAAAGGGCGCAGAATTAATGTAGAAGGAGATTTAGGGGAGTATTTACGGTAAAGAAATAAGGAACTAGGATTGTAAAGAGAATCAACTGGTTTTCTCATAAAATTCTATGAGCGTTCCCAAACTCGAGGTTCCAGGTTCGAGTTTCAAATTGAGATTGACATTTTACCAGTTACTGTTACCTACCTGAGATTGATTTTAATTAGTTTTGTTTTTCTTCCGTCAGGCCAAACTGGAGAAAGACGAGAACCAAACAGCAGAAGAAAAGAAAGACAACTGAGGACATGTGACCATGACCTGGATCATTTCATTATCATTATCATCATCATTATTATTATTATAATTATTATTAATGGTAATATTATCATTATCATTACTATTATTTTTATTATTAAAATCATAATCTCTGTTTAAAGCTTGTGGGAAAAGTTAGAAGCGCTTCACAGTCAAAAGCTTGCGCATGCGTGATGAGAACTTGACTGCGTTTTGCGTCTCAAGACGGGGAAAAACGAACCCCAATTTATAACTCGGGCATTCTACAGGAAGCCCGAGTAACTAGTCGCCGTTAGATTTAAACTTGAAAGACTAGTTTTATAGGAAGGTTGCTCTGTTGGGAGTTCGTCATATTAACTTCAAAAGTGTTGAAAAATATCTTTCAAAATAGTAACTGATTTTTGTAAACAGTATTTGTACAAGTAACCTTCATAAAGTAGTAGTATGGAATTATTTGGAAATAAAGGTTTGTGAAGCGCTAAAGCGAATTTTCTTTTGTCTTTCTTTTTTCGTGAACCTGATATTTACTGGGATACCTGTGGTAGCCCAGTCATAAAATGCCTTTGTTTGTTTTTTTTTTTATCCTGCTTTAGGCGCTCAGTAGTTAAAGCGAAGCGCAATGGTGAACGGCGCCATAGTGGCGAAGAACTGAAAAACCGAGGGGGGCTTGGGTGGGGTGGAATATCGACAACCTGTCCCAAGCCCCCTCACCCTCCTTTAAACTCTGCCGTTTGTACAGTGTTCCGTTTTACTCAATGTACGCCTAGAAAAGGTTATCTTTTATTAGTAAGAGTTGCTTGGTGGGTAGAGTCGTTGCTTCGAAACACGTACATATTTTGTTGTTGTTGATCACCTTTCTCACACTTTTTCCAAGGAAATCAAGAGTGCTGACATACGTCCGTGTGAAGTCCACAATTTTGGCGGATCGATTTGGAATCTCTGTTGTCGTAGAGACGAAATTATCATCTAGCTTGCTTCCTTTTCAGACGTTAACTCTAATATCAGTCCAAAACGGAAACCCATGCTGAATCACCTTCAAATGTGAAATCTGTATTCGTTTGTTTTCGAGCGCCGCAGCGCGCTATGACAGGATTTAAAATGTTCAAATCACAGTTCTGTTTAAGATAACTTTTTATCAGTAGCCCCATTACATAAAGTTCATGTTGATGGATATTGTATGATTTCGACAGAATCCTTTCGGGAGTTATGAAACGAGTTGAAAGATTCTAGGGGCAAAATTTTTTTAGTACAGGGGTAAGCTCGCAAAGGTGGTCGGGAGTGAACTTGTAATGCGGTGAAACCTCCAGTTCTTGGTTAATACAATCAATCTTCTCTCGTGCGACCACCTTAAGAGCAGGGGAAATGGTCACTCAAAGGAGGTGGTCCCCGTAAAAAAAAAGATCAAAATATAAATCCAAAAATAAAGGAGAAAAATTCAATTGCATCCACTGAAAGAAAACACTTATTCTTCTCTCATTGGTTTAATGACGCAGTTATGCAAAGTTTTTCTTAAAAAATTCTAATTCTGAAACAGTCTTAGCGTACTCTACGCGTCTTTTTAACCCTTGGTTTTTGTGACAAGCACATTGGCAGTTTGAAACAGAATCCCTTTTAAATCACTAGAAATCAATTGCCACAAAAACTTAAAATGACATGGCCACATGATTTGAAATTTGTGCGTATATCTATATGCCTATTTATAAATTAGTTTTGACCCATCGGCGTAACCCAAAGATTTCCTTTTATCTTGATGATGGTCCTTATTGGAAACAAAAAAAAAAAGAGCTTTGACAAATTTAGGGCCTCAAAAAGGGTCGCGTATGGTTAAGAAGATCGAAGAAGGGACGCTAATTTAAGAGTTCTTGAAACGGTATTTGGCAAAGAATTCTAACGAGCATTTATATGCAGGGCACTGAAGGGAAGTAGTCGCTTCACAGAGTGATCGTTCAAAAGAGTGGACTACGCGACTTGAAAGAACATCCAAAAAAGGTAATGACCACGAAAATGTGTAAGCCAGAAAAAAAAAAATTTGATAACTTTATCATTCTTCATAACAAGGAGCAGAAACTATGTACACAACACATGGTGCAGATCGAGTGAGTCAAACAGGAAGGCATGCTAAGTAGCTGATTACTCCACACATTGTGCTGTACAAGAGCACAATTGATCCCAATCTATAGACACCGAAAACACCTCCCGCTCGAGCCATCTCTCGTAGTTATTCTTGAAATCGCTGCTCAAATCGATCTTCTCTCCTAAGACGCTCAAAACGTCGTTATCTACCGGCTGATACTCGTCTTCTTCGACGCTTTCTCCCAGGCGGTCGCCATTCTCGAAGCCGTATCGACGGTTGTTGAAGCGATCTACACATGTGCGCAAAGCGTTTTCTTCACCTTGGAAGTCCCAGGGCCGGGCATCAAGATCTATTGATTAAAATAACAGTTGGATAACTTTTGAAGGCCTTTAGATCACAGTACGAGTGCGAGCTCTTATGATAAAAGTTAAGGGGAAACATGTTTTGAAATAATTGGCCTAGCAAACTCGTACCATTGAACAATTGTTTGTTAATTTCTCTAATTGCTCGTTAGTATTTTGTCAGTCTTGGTTCCTCTAAAAGAATATTGTGACAAATATAATTTCAAAGCAGTGGCAGTTTCTTGCGAATTTTTGGGTGTTTTAGTTGGCTGTCACGTTCTGTTTCCTGCTTGGCCATTGCAAGAGGGAGAAATTTTCAAGGGAGAAATCATTCACATGACTTGCGCCGACCAATAAGAGGTCAAATCCACGATGAATGATGGGCTCACCGTTCCCATAAGCCCAATCGTCATTGAGCCGATGCCGGACCCTTTGGTAGATCGCGGACATAGTTTTCATGTTACTCTTTCTCCAATTCCTTCCTAAAAACTTAGTTTGCGCCTTCAGCAACTGAGAAAACAAAACAACGTAAAACGAATAAATAAACAAACACAAATTCATCAAATTTGGATTACTTTATTCATCTTACCCACCAGTAAAGGCAATTTCCTACTTCCGAGAACCTCACTTAAAAGACGAGGCAAATGTTCTCGCTTTTCCCCTCGTGACCTCCCCAAGGGTGGATCCAGGTTATTTTTATCGACGGGGGAGGGGGGGGGGCGAGTCCAAGCATTTATTCAAAAAGGCAGAGAAACTTTTTTTAAACTAGACCCTAAATAAGGGGAGATATATTTCAAGAGAAATAAAATTACATATACTTCATATTGAGTAGTAAAGTGCGTTTCTGTCGTTGCAAGAATTTAAGGGTCAGAGAAGTGTTAAAAAAAAAAACAAGAGAAATCTGTCGCGGGAAGGGAGGGAGAGGGGTAGGGCTTCGGACTTTTAAGATCCTCTACATGGATCCGACAGTGTTTCCTCGTGTTTCTCTGGGATGCTACCTACGACGTTTTTTCCTATTCTAAGACGTACTTCCATCAGTATTTGTTAACAATAATACAATTCTTAAAAAGGTTCAAATGCCAATTTCATATTTTCCGTGGAAAAGAATAATACCAAAAACTTTACTAACCTTGAGAACATATAATTGAAGGAGTTCGTGTTTAACCTTCAACACACGCTTCAAGATTGGTGCGGATTTAAACACAACAAGCATCTGAAAGACAAGAGTAAGTAAGTTAAAGTAAAGCCTTTATACGGGCCCAAGTGGCCCATGGGGCCGGTGCTTAACTCCGGTTTTCTTAGCATGAAGCGGCTGGGAGTATTGCTACTCCTCCCTGGATGGGATGCTAGTCCATCGCAGGGTTACCCCCAGCACATTTGCTGGTACCCATTTGTACACCTGGGTGAAGAGAAGCACTGTGAGAGTAAAGTGTCTTGCCTAAGAACACAACACAAGGACCCCGACCAGGGCTCAAACCCGGACCACCCGATCCGGAGTCGAGCGCACTAACCATGAGGCCACTGGGCCTCCACATCTGAAAGACAAGACTCTTGTTAAAAATGTAACCAGTTTCCTATGTCACTTTTGGCTTCGATCACTTTTAAGTTTTATCACCTTTATACAATTTTACTAGATTATATGAATCTTACTTTATACTTTTGGAAGAATATGGGAAGGGAAACTAAAAAAACGAAGAAACAATACGCTGAAGCTAAAACAAAGAAAACTTAAAAAAGATATTCAGGTGTACTTCACTTGAAAAAGTTAAGTCGAGTTAGATTCGAGGGTATGTATTCTGCTAGTTTTTGAGAATATTTAGCTTGAAGCCGAGACTACCCCGATATCAATGTATTCTTGGTGTTTGCGTATAGTCACAATTACAAATACGAAAAAGGGCTAACCTATTACCTTCATCCCATAACTGTCCAAGGGCTAACGGACGGGAAAAAAACTAAGACTAATGAACAAAAACAGCTACTGCAAAAGAAGTTTCGTTTACCATTGTGCGCGAGTGTTTCCATTTGGTGAGTTTTTGAAGAATGCGTACAAGGTTAATGCATGAGAACAGATTTCTCCAACAGCAGGCTTCCTGATCAGCGTTTTCCTGTAGAAAAAATTTCACACAGTATCGTAAAACTGAAACAAAACCGTTACGCCAAGTTGTTTATTTGATATCGGGGATCAACCCCGCGCTGTCCACGCCCTCTCACGGCTTCCCGCTCGTCTGCAAGGCTCTGGGCAAAAAGAACCGCCAGCTTCGGAGTGTAATCAGAAATAGGAGAATTCTTCGGCTAAATTTCGATGGCCTGGACTTTTATTTTTCAATTTACACGCAAAAACATTTTCCTTTTATCTCGTACTACTCTCCTGCTCAATGAAAGCACTGCATGAACAACATGACGTTGCCATTTCAGGAAAAAGTTTACGTAGGGGCACTTTTCGGTCACTACTCACCAGGCTTTCGGCGGTTAGCTCCAAAGGGTCACCCAGGATGCATGCTGGGAAGTCAAGTTGAGGTATTCTATAAAGAAAATACAAGCTAAGCCGGTCAAGGTACTGATCAAACGGTGAGACATGGTTCGCGAAGTCTTTTGAATTGACAAGTGACTTAATTGGGTGAAATAGAACCAAGTAACTTCAGAAAGACGGTCAGGATCAAGAAGAACTAAACATGAATTACTGGAACAATTTTTATCTCTTCAACATGGAAATATTCAAAGGTTACATGTATTTCTATGAAAGCTGAATGGTAGTTCGTTTGCTCTCTCTTGATCCCAAGATCAGTCACCAGATTCTTAACACTAGTCTTAAGAGATACGTACTGCAGTCAGAATTGATATTTTCAGTTAAGAAAAGAGACAGCTTACTTACGTGTTCTTAGCAGCAACAAAGGCGGAAATATTTTGATTCAGATATTTCAGAATAAGAGGAATACAGTTGGCGAAGACAAGATGTTGGCTCATGTACTCAAACTGGTAAAAAGAACAAAAAATTAAAAAAACAAGGCAATTTAGATGTCGTATGAAATATGCGTCAGCTACTTAAGAAGGGAAGAGTTGCAAATCATTAGAAACATGATTAAAGTTAATTTCTACCTCACCTGATAAATATGATTCATCTTGTAATGTTTAAGCAAAAGAAAGAGAATTGCTGATATGGCTTTCACTATGATCTCCTAAGGATGAAACAGAACACAGTATTGAAGGTACGGAATAAAAAGACCCTCTAATCAGAACAAGATTTCAAGCAGATGTTTGTGGAATTCTCACCTTGTGTCTGTTAACATCAATTCCAAGTTTCATGGACGTAAGAACTGATGAGCTGGTATAACAAAAACATTATTAAATCAATTTCTGTGAACACTAGGCACATATAAAAAAAAGCAAAAAAGACATAATGAAACATACAAACAAACAAAACAATCAATAAGAAACAAAATAAACAAAAACAAACAAAATAAAGGAAAAGACACAAACAGATAGAGGCACAGAACAGAAAAAAAGGAGTACACACAAAACAGACAAACAAACAAATAGCAAAACAACAAAAAAAGAGAACAAACGAACAAATAAACAACAAATGACAGAACATACAAACAAATAAACAACAAATGACAGAACAGACAAATCAAACAAACAAACAAACAAAAAGATCCAAAAAGCAGACAGATCTGTTATTGTTGTCTCAACAAATTCTTCTATTTGTGTGGGTCGTGTTGGTTTCTGCACTAGGTAATTTTTATTCAGTTCGTGTCAACCCAACTCGCGTTAGTTCACATACCTCAATACAAACGAGCGAGTTTATCGAACTGCGTGTCTGAAAGAGCCCTTGACGAAAAAAACGAAGGAGGCAGTTTGTACTTGTGTTTTTAATTAATTTTTGCGACGAACAGCTCGTAATGTTAAGAGTTCTTGAGGAATATGAGTGCTTTGATAAAAAGCAAGGTCAAAGGCTTGTAACAGAAAGTAAAGAGCAACACTGACGGCATATCCTGTGGAAAGACGTCGGCCAAGATGTTGATAGACTCAGTTTTAGGTTTGGCTGTTGGTGCAGCAGCGAGGAGGATCTTCAATATGGCAATCTGAAAAGTGAGAAAAACCGTGTGGTCGTGTGGTCTGGTCGTTCAAGCAGGTGTGGTTCACAAAACGACTATTGCTGGTAGTAAAAGCTGAGTTGATGGTATAGTCTGATCGTCCGCAAGAAAGTAGTCCTGAGAAGGACTGTTGTTTGTAGTAGTGTTTTGAACGCGTAGTCTGATCGTTCGGGTGAGGAAATTTCTAAAGAACAATTTATGTATTAGTGACTGATGTTTCGAAAACCTCAGCGAAATCATTATCAGCTTCGAGTCATTGAACCCCTAAGGCTCTCGGCGACAGTCCTTCCCAGGACTACTCTCACCGAGACGATCAGACAACACGATCAAACACTACTCCTGGGCTCAAGCCACTCAATGTAGAAGACTAAAGTTACTAGACGAGACCCTAATATGTGTCACTCTCTACCTATTTCTCTACTTACCACATACTGAGGTAGATTTGGAAGCATAGCTTCGTACAGCTGTTCCACTCGGTTTGAAGGCACGTTTAGGTTTCCCTACAAAAATCCAAATCCTTTGATCAGGTGAGACACTTAATAATTCGAGAAAAAGCTGCATAATCAGTCTTAGAGGCTGCCTACTGCAAAAATGGTGCACTCTACTGGTGTCACGACGGCTATAAAAACACTGCTTTGCGGACGGAAATAGGCTACCCATGTTAACATATCGGCCTATGAATGTGTTCGTTGCTGAAACTTTAGCGTACAGCAAAGTGTTGAGAATCAAGAATAGTGAGCACGAAGAAATACGCACTTCGCGTGAAGCGGGAAATAAGTAAAAAGTGAAAAAAAGAGAGACGTTATGCTCTTGAAAAACTTGTGAATGGTAAAAAGCGCGGGTGAAAATTCTTCCTCTTCTTAAGGGCGGGAAACATGTAACAGGAGGAAAGCGCGGGAAAACATGCTAGTACCAGTCTGCCACTGAGTGCGAGAAACCAAACACAAGTGAAAGGCGCGGGAAAACAAGCAACTGGTACTGGACGCGGGAAACCATCCGACGCTACGCACGTAAAATGGTCACCAACCTTTGTGAAGGGTCTGTTCATTGCTTCCTCCTCTTCCTTGATTTGAATTTCCGACAAAGACACATACATGTGCTAAGCAAGACAAAAAAAATAAACGAATTAGATAAATATTAATAATAATAATAATAATAATAATAATAATAATAATAATAATAATAACAACAATAACTACCGGAAAACATTTCAACGATTTCGCATGTCGCATGCTGGCAATGAGGGTCAGCGCCGTTTGAGAATGTTAACTTATCATGCTTCAGAAAACTATGGGTTCATCTCCTAATGGATGCTTCCCTTGGCATCCCCTTGCTTGCGTTTAAGTCATTCTCGACGAAAGAAGCGTTCCCATCAAGGTTGTGACATGCTAGCAAATATGTCACTTCGTTAAACTTTTTTAATCATTCAAATTTCTATGAATGTCCAAGTTATTTTGCGTTACAGCGTGCCTTTCATATGTTTTCCTTTCAAATTCTGTGTGAGAGATTGGCGCCCGGCTGGTTGCTGATCCTCTTGTGCAAGAACCAACGTTTGACCTCTGTGCTCCAACTTATTGGTGGGGAAAAGATTGCGTTGTGTGACCAGTCCAAACAACGACTTAGAAGGAGAGTATTACGCTCATTAATTTGGTCAGAAAATGAAAATGTTTGAGTAGCGCGACTTGTCTCAGAGGAAAATATTGCACAGGTCAAACACATGTTAGGAAAATTTTCCATCGTCATCTCCAGAAGGCTCGAAGTGAATTGATGCTATCCTTATGTCACGTCTAAGTGACTTGTCACTCAATGCGCTAGTAAAAAGACAAATTAAATTGAGCAGGAAAAATCTTCACCTTCTTTAGAATTGAAAGTCCTTCATGTATTGGGCCGGGAAGTCCCGCAATCGTTTGGCAATCTCTATAAAAAAAAAAGAGAGATTAACACTGGAGATCGATATGCTCAAGAAACTGAAAGGAATACAATGAAACAGAATAAGACAGATGATGAATTTCGAGTCCGGAATAAAACGAAAAGAATTTTTCTTTCTTCTGGTCACGAGCTTGAGACAAAAACTAATCTGAGTCCCCACGAGCAACTGAACCTCCGCCCTTCGGATACGGCGCTTCGATGCTCTACCACAAAGCAACAGAGACACCATTGAGGAGTAAGCCATTTCCAGGTTCATGTGTGACACTCGTCCCGCATACTGCGAGGATCAACGATGCCGAGTGCGTAGTGCGGGTAAACCGAAAATTGGAACATCCTGCTCCATAAACAAGCGATGTTGATTAACAAAGACAAAAAGACTATATAAAGATGGTCCGCGAAAATGACAATAGGGACCTTAAGCAAACCACGACGACGACGGCAACGAGGACATGGAAAAACAAAAGATCTAGTTGGCAGAACAATGGCTCAGCACGTGCGTTTTAAAACTTTGTACATTTCTTAGCCGTCCCATCCAAAACAACAACGTAAAACCACCACAATTTGCGTCGTCTGCGAACCGAAACCGCGACGGCAAATTATGTTAATTTCCATTTGGAACTCAACGCTTCTTTTATACGTTATGCTGAAGTTGAGGTGTGGCGCCGTATGAGACGGTAAACAAATGCAGCCATTTTGAAATTCGAATTAACGGCAGAAATTCATTTTTTTTTATCGAAGTCTCCGTCCTGACTGCTTAAGGTCCTTATTAACTACGTGTAGTCCCGTTCACACGAAATTCGAACAATTCGAAAATGAATGAAATATTTTTCGTCAAATCCATTTTTTTTTAACTGTTTCGGAGGATTTCATTGTTTGCACGATCACGTTTCATTGCAACTGATTTATCTCTAAAATCTGCTCCTTGATCTTGGTTTTCACGGAAATTTTGACGTCAAAAGCACTTCAATAATTTTATTATTTTGCGCTTCCAAATTAACTCACAAACGTAATCAAAATTTATCTCTTCCTTTCACTCTTACAACACAATTAGCAAACAGGTAAGAGCCGACAAACTTATTAACCAGCGGGTGTTATCTCGATACAATACGTCAATCTCTTTACTTATTGACGAGGAAATGGTTAGCGAACAAAGAATCTCTGTTCATTTATCGAGACTTTAAGACTTTTTAACATCTGAGGTTTAAGGACAAAGAAATAATCTTCCTGCTTTTCCAAGGCACATGAAGCCAGATTAGAAAGTTCATTGCATGTGTGTCCATCAGAATGACATAAAATGTGATTATTTCAAATCTAAAAAAAGGAAGGAAGGATTTGAAAATTAAGAACTGAATTAAAATGCTTATCGACTTACATTAAACAAATTAATCTTCTTCATGGGAGACTCGCGGTCGACAAACAAGAAGCTTTGAACGCTCAAAGGCCTGGAATTCTCTTATTGGATTACGGATAAGAAAATTCGAGATCATTGATAATCTGTCTTGATCGTGATAAAGAATTTTCCTTTTCCCAGAAAAATAATTACATTGAACTCACTAAACAACAATGAATCCCTCGGCGTAAATCCAGAAAGATTTGAAAGCTGGCCAAAGTTATAATTTTATCGTCAAATCAGCAACGATTTAAGGAAAAAGTGCTACAATTCAAGTGTAATCATTGTAAAAGCGATTGCAAATCAGACTTAATTTGAAATCCTTTCTAAAAATCTGCCCTGAAAGACTGAAAATCTTAAGATAATTTTCCTGTCGCCCAGCAAAGATGTTTATCTCTGATACAATTAGCATAAATTTATTACACAATGCAGTCGTATATTTTGTGCTGCAAAACGTCACTAATTGATGGTAACAATTTGATTCACTTGAAAGTTCTCATAAGAATTAGCTTTGAGAGTTGTGTTTTTAAAAATCACTTGCTAACTTGATATTGTAAAGACATTTTGAAAGGTTAAGGGTGAAAGCTAACTGAACGAGATAACTGAAGTGTTATAGCAAACTTGGTAGCAACGAAACTCCAGTCGCATCAATTTTCGCTGGCACGGGAACTTCGCGACGTCGATTTCTCCCTAAGAGAAACATGCTTTAGAACTATATTAAAAACCTATTATTTCCTGTCTGTCGAGGGGGCGTAATTTTAACAAGAATCTTTTATAAATGACAATATCATATCAAGAAAGTTAGATGCCCCGGCAAGAAATTGGATAACATTTTCAAAACACTTAAGATATGAATTTGAAATGTACCTCCCTGCTGTTTCTCTTAGAAGTTTAAGCTTTTTTATTACTTTCTACACAGGGATTCATGATCATAATCGTTTAAATTAGAGAAAAAATACAAATAAGAGTAAAAATTGTCAGCGCTACTGAGTATTTTTTAGGAAATCTAAATAATGATCTCAAAGGGACGTCGACCTTGGCTTTTTTTTGTTAAAGCGCAGTCTCTATTAAAGCGTTCCAGTGCATTTCGATTCACAACTTGATTTCTTTATAACTTTACCCCCGAATCTTTCCAAGTCGTCGCTCTATGAGCGACCTATTGTTTTGTTTAGAACTCAGTTAACGAGAAAGAAAGAAATCAGTAAAAGTCGGGATAGATTTGTAAATGGTCACGTTGATCCAAAATATTTCTTACTGTTCATTTGGAAAGTGTTCTTATAAATATTACTTAAAGTGCAGTAATTTTAAATTGGAAAATGTAGCCTGTAAGCCATGCAGAACGCGACGTGAACTAATTTATTCAAAGGTTCATAGCTCAAAAGTTCTCAGTAAATCGCCAGAAAATAATATTTTCATGAAATGCACCCGACCGCTTTTAAGAGACTGCGTCTTAAATTCACGTCAATTGACAAACGTTGGAGGCTACAAAAGGACGGAAACGTATGTAGGAAACTTCTGCCCTTTACGAGCCGCGCCTATGAAGTATAACTTATACTTGACGTTATCCGCTCTGATATCGATATGCTGAGTACTTTTAAGTAGCTGTCGACATATAAATCCTCACTTATTAGAAAAATATCGGCAAATACGATCTGCATGAAAAAGCATCAAATGCTCAAACAATCTGGCAGCAGACACTACCAGGCCACAGGGGTAGAGGCAGGATTTGTCACGAGGAAGGGGTCCTTCATGTACTTATCACTCGCATTTGGAGATTTGCCAATGCGCCTTTTTTTTTTCAACTAATTTTTTTCCTTAACAACGAGAAGAGAGTTAAGTTGCACCCAGAGTGGAGTAAGACTATAAAACTCATACAAAGTAAAATAGTCTTCCCGATTTATTTTCGGAGGGTTGGGTAGGGCGGCACAAAGGCAAGAAGAGCCCTATGATAGCTAACAACTCAAGATTTTGTACAGAAGTTTGTTAAACCGCAAAGTAAAGAACGTCAACTTTAAACGAAATAACTGGGAAATTTAACAGTGCTACATTAGAGTCCAATGATGCTGATGCTACTCCTCAGCTTGATCCAGCGTTTATCCCTGCCCTCGAAATACGGAGACAAAATGGCGTCTAACAATCTCTGTTGAATTACTTGAGTCTAGTAATACCTGTTTTTGAAATAACGACTCCACCAATAACTTTAAATGAGTTTTCTCCACTAGATTTTACTTATGAATCTCTCAATTATTTTTTCCAAGAATAATATGTAGCAATATGGTTGAGAAAAGGTTATCCTACAGCGCTACCAATTAAGGCGAAGGTTTTCCGCAAAATTTTCACGCGAATCAAAACTAACTCTCACCTTTGCGACACTCCGTTGCTAAATGCTCAGCCAAAACTATAGAGAAATTTATTGTAACAACTCCCGCTATTGCGGAGTTACGGAATATACGAGCAAGTGAGTTAGTCCTCAAAACATCATATTTACTTTCCATCTCTCGTTACAACGTACAAGTTGGACGCATTGAATAACAAATTTGTCTTCTGCTGTCTCGGAATGTTTATGTGTGACCTGCACTGCATGATTATCCTTTGAGGTTATTGTAAAATACAGATTAAAAGAACTGGCTATCATGAAGCAGTGTAGAAGCTCATATTCTGCCTTTCACTTTAAAACCTAAAACTGGGTCATTTTATCACCAACCGCTATTGTAGGCTTTCGCTGTCGTGGACGCCGAACGTGGCTGCTGTAAGGCGAGAGCATTAACAGAAGTTGTTTTTCAAAGACTCAATTTCAGGGTTATAATCACGATAATGGTTTAATAGCCAGCGATAAGAATAGCCGATTGATAACTGGTGAAACTAAATCGGATTGCATATCTTAACTGGATCGAAAAACACTTGAGCCAAGATTCGCGCAACTAAAAGGAGTCTTTCACCAAGTTTATCACAATAGAGGCGCGTTTGTTCTTTGACTTTTTTTTTGTCACGTGTGGATCACACCTTTGTTTTCTCTTTTACCTCATGGACTATCCCTCTTGATAAAAAATTCGAGTTCGGGTCATAGCGAAAACCGCAGGGATAAATGAAAAGTTGGTATAAAAAACACTTTGCGGTATGGTCTGGCCACGGGCCTAATGTAACTGAAAAACACAAAAAAATTAGTTTTGCTTAATTCATCTTAATGACACAAATCTGCGCGAACAACAAAATTACATTCTATCACCTTTTAACTTTGCGCTGTCGTCGCTCACCAAAATAACACAAAAACAAAACTGAAAGTCTTCATCTGGAAAACAATACATGTAATATATCTCACGACTTCACACCTGTTGATATCGCAAGCCGTTCGGGACATCAAAGTCCACTTTAGATTAAAACCTCGAATACCCAGAGCGTCGAGAGAAAACTTCCTGTAGTTAATAATCTTAGTACACGCTGTGCATTGGACGTGCAAAATTTCTGCAGGCCACAGAAATTTCTACCGAATCGCGCAGTTAACCCCGAACGAGAAAGGTTCGTTCAGCTGCACTATGAAAAACACGCAGCTTGGTATATTTATTAGGTGACAGCTTGCCTGGAAGTGACTGCGAATAGTAAACACAATATTGAATAGATGAAGCGCCGATTATTAAGTGACGTCATTGACCGATAAAATTCACTGGTACGCCGGTGCTGGGCAGTTAATCAAGGTGTCGCACGATTGTGGTTCGTTCTCAAGCTGAAGCGTGATATGTGCGATTCTCGTTCTGCCACAAGACAACTTTAAAATGCCACGATCATTTCTCATCAAGAAGAAGCCAGAAAAAGCGACCAGGAATGCAGTGCATGATTCAAAAGCGAAAGGTGAGCCTTGATATTCCCTCCGTGCACTTGTCCGTTGTCCCAAGGGTAACAAGTGTATTGTTGCCAACAAATCCTGCTCGCCGAATCTCCGACTTCGGCCCCTAAACATCTCCCTAATTTGCTCCCTAGAACTTATCATTCTCTTCTCAGTTGATTTTCACTTCTCTAAATACCATTTTTGAAAGTGAAACAAGCGCAAAACAGCATTTTTCAGGGATTGCGTACTTATCACACCACAAGCTTAATTGCATGCTCTCGTTTCGTAACCAACAGGTCGTCAACTTGACCTCGAACAAGAAACGCTTCCAGATTCTTCATTTATTCGAAAATCTGTTCTCGAAAACGCGCGTTTACAGCCATGGATCGATTTTAAGACATCTCACATATATCCTGCCGAAGTTACAGCTTACCAAGTTTTTGACGGTCACGTATATACAACGCAACCAACACCGAAATACGAAGAGGCATCGCCAGCTTTGGTAAGCACAGAATCACCGCAAAGTGACGGGAAAATTTCCCACGAGAAAAGCCGTACGAACAAGAAACTCCGTTGCCAAGAATGTGAAAGAAGTTTCAACACTGTGGCCGCGTTGCGAAAACACCAACATCCTCGAAAAGAGTTCGCATGCAAGTACTGTGAAAAAACCTACGTCTCTCTGGGCGCGTTGAAAATGCACATTCGGACGCACACTCTTCCGTGTAAATGCACCATCTGTGGAAAAGCTTTCAGCCGTCCGTGGCTACTACAAGGTCACATTCGTACGCACACGGGAGAGAAACCGTACAAATGTCCAAGCTGCGATCGAGCTTTTGCTGATCGATCGAATTTACGTGCACACCTTCAGACACACTCCGTGGTCAAAAAATACAGTTGTTCGCAATGTTCTAGGTCTTTCTCTCGCATGTCCCTCTTACTCAAACACCAGTATTCGTGCGGTGATGATTTGAACTTACCGTGAATTTCCCCTAACATTCCAGAGCTGATAGAAAAAAAAAATTGTCCGCAAAATGTGAACGAATTTTTTTCTCCGGAAATGCTTGTTTTTGCTCCACGTTCTTGCTGAGGAACAAACATTATTGTCGACCACTAAATGACCCACAATATGTGATGTGATGCAAGTAAGAATTTAGCGAGAGTAGATTTTTGATCGGACAAAATTGGAGCGGGAACAAGGAACAAATTGTAAAGAATACGATTTCTTTAATTAAAACACGAGATGCATTTTTTTTTATAGACGTATCAAAAAGAATTTATAGAAATAAAACTCTCATTTGTGACTTAATCGAAACGTCTAGGATTTCATCTAAGGAGCTTGGCCATCACATTAAATTTGATGCCTTACGTCTCTAACGTCCCCAATCTACTTGAAGCACGTGTGGTCCGTGATATTTTTAAGCGATAACCTAAATGTAGTATTCTGAAAAGTATTGTCTAGAGATTTCATAAATAAATGGAGTTTTAACAAACACTTGAGCCTCCTTTGATGTTGAACGTGACCGGGCAAGCGATCGAAACACCAGGTGACAGCTGAAAGTAACGCCCGCTTAAGGAGTAAATATTTTGTCGATTGATTACTTCTGAAAATTCGCAACAAACGAGGACGGAAAATAAGTCGAGTGAACGATTCTCGAAATCGAACGAACACCTTTAATTCCTACGATTAGACTCCAAACTCTCCCTGCTTCGTGAAATTATTTCCTCTTAAATTAGTGAGGAGAATTTGGCATAGTATAAAAAAAAAACGCCTTCTGACTGATCAGTTTATCTTTTACTCTTCCCCTTCCGGCTGGATTTTGTATTGAAATTAGAAGGAGAAGTGATCAAAACAAGAGTAAGAGTGAATCAATTAACCACATCTACGGTCTTCCCACGTCTATCGGGCAGGATGGATGAGGATTATTTGAGTGCGTGAAAGAGTATTTCCCTTTTTTATCACGAACTTCGCGTTTTATTTATTAAGTTTTAATGATTACAGAAAAGAGAATGATTGGGTAAAATCTCAGATTTGCAATTTAAGCGTATTCTCTATTGAGAGTGTCTAAAATGCATTCCGTGTCACAGTAGCTGGAAAGTATGGTGGTCCTGGAAGCAGGCCAACTTATTGCGTTACTTTTAGTCAATCTCCTTGCTGTAATTAGTCTAGAAAATTCATTTGAAATACAATAACGATAAAATCTAACAAAATATGTTAAACTGAAGCCATCGGAAATTTCTAGTCTCCTTCGTTGTTGTTTTTAAGAATTTCATGAAATGCTCCAATCCTACGACTCCCTTCGCAAGAGGTTTGCGTGACATCGTAAAAGGGATGTCACGTAAGGAAGTTGAAGTTTAGGCGGAATTTTGAACACCCCAAAGTTTATTAGGGGTTTCGAAGCCTCCACGAGCACTATCCTTCACGGATGAAAAGTCGTCGGAATGATCTTTGAAAGTTTGCGAGTGCACAACTCTATTTTGGGGTGGTCCATCCTCTCAAGTTTCACAAACAAGATAAAGTTACAGTGGATGTTGGCACGACATACACGTGAGCACACGCTGTTATCTCTCGAGTAATCTTCGACTGAATATCGACAGCAACCAGGGTAGAAAACTTTACTTCATTGCGACTTAGCCATTCGTGTCTTTCCGCGATCGAAGCCTGCTAAGTGTGTTTAAAGCTGCGAGCAGGTCCTCAATATAGCGCTGCAGGACGCGTGCTTCTCCGCCCTCGGGAAGATTTGAGACGACTCGGGAAGTGGATTGATTGCCGAGGGCTCTCGCTTACTCGCGTTGCTCAAGGTCAAGTAACAAAACAAAAAGCTCGCGCCAAAACACTAAAAATGAGAGCTTGTTCGCACGCTGTGTGTTTACTTAGTTCGTATCGGTTCCTTGAGATAATTTTCTTCGTTTTAATTGATTGGCTCTTTGTGATAATTTTCTTCGTTCTGATTGACCGTTGGGTTTATCTTAGAGTTTTGTTTCAAGAAACTCGATCGAAAAGCTCTTGGAAAAAAAAAAAGAAAAGAAAAAAAAAAGGACGACAAAAGATAGAACTAATAATTCATCTTTAAATGTGATACGTTAATTTTCCACTTACCCTCGCAGCTGAAAGCCAACAAACTTGTTCCTGGTGTTATCCAAGAAAACTTCCACGTCTTTCTGCCTACAAAAGAACATGAATTTCTATTTCACCAAAAGTTTAAATAGTGTGGAACACTCTCATATATATCAGTATATATAGTGTGGTACATTTTCATATAAGTTAAAGAATTAAAGAGGACGCATCAATTCTCTGTGACTCTGAGTTTCGCGCCTAAGCGCTCGTCAGACAAGTTCTATCTGACGAGCGCTAAGGCACGAAACTCAGAGTCACAGAGAATCGATGCGTCCTCTTTAATTCTTTAACTTATGTATACTTAGCTCTGCTACCACAGCATTGAGCACTTAATGCCAAGGCAGACTCTACCCCCACATTCATTTACATATATACACACATATATTACTTTCGTGCGCATTTTGATTGAAGCGTTCAGCAGCAAAGCCACAAGAAGTTTGAAACTAATTAATAACAGAAACGATGAAGCTACGCTGATCAATTTCGTGGTACTGCCGATTGAATTTTCAGACCACCTTACAAAACCAAGAACTACGTTGGTAGGTTTTGCAGTTAACCCTTAAAACTCTAAGAGTGACTAGCATCTAATTTCTCCCTAAAATATCAGCCCTGAACCACACATTATGGTCATGAAAATAATGGAAATGATCACCAAGGAAAGAACCTTTTGATTGGCAAACAAATTCTCCTTGTCAGCACCTTAGGAAAAGTATAAAGAACCGTATGGAGAATATTCATACTGATGTTAGGGTGTAACGGGTTAAGCAAAGAAGCGCGAAGCCTGGGGCCGTGTTTCACTCGCTCCTTCCCTCAAAAGCCTTTCAATATAACACTGACAATCCGGCGTGTGGAATGATTTCTTACCGAAAAAAAGGGGGTGGGGGGGGAGGGAAGGAGACACAAAGCAGAACAAATCGAGCAATCAGATATGGCAATGCCCCTGTAACCCCCCAACCCCTTCCCTCTTGGGCCACCAACATCCCATTGGTGAATCCGCTACGCCTTAATTACATTTAGCCACATTACATTTGTACCTGACTTTCGGACGCAGCTTTGGTGGTCTGTACAGCGGTTCCTCTTCACTCCTATCCCACACAATCTCTCCATTACTGTCACTATCTGTTCTCGACAAGGGAGGGGTGTGGGGAGCGGGCGTCCTCTCCTTAACAGTGGGTTGTTGTGGAGGGCACTGTACTTCATAGCTGGCAGGTAAGCCCCGGGCAACTCTAAGAGCTTCTTTCTTCTTGGCGAGATCTTCTAATCCACCCAAAGAAATCTGTAGAAGTAAGGAGACAGAGAGCGTTTCGAATGACTGTCGTATGACCAAACTAAAAGGAATCACATTAGTCCATCAGAACAAAGTGAAAGCTCAAGAACTTAGAAACGACTGGTAAAAATGGTGATGTGACTTTTCTTAATCTTAAAAAAATGACATCAGTTTGCAAGTTCTCCTTACTCTTATTCTTTGTAAAACAATCCAGAGCCTCTGAGGTTTAATGTTTGATTCAGGGGCGATACTGTTGCAAGTACAGTTTTACAGCGACATTTTTATAATATTTTATAATATTTAGAATACTTGGACATACAATATGTTATAAACCGCCAAATATTTCAAAACAAAGGCTGATTACATTTCATTTAAGCCACATCGTAAAGTCTCTTGCCAACAGGCCCTCATTGGCACTGCAAAACGTGTGTTTCTCCGCTTTTGTGCTGAAGCGCTGATAATGTCATGAGGCTACATGACTCAGGATTTCGGGCGACATGACCGCTTACCTGCTCGCAGGCTACGAAAGTTCAAACACAACAACTCACCAGAATAGTTTTCCACAAAAGGAGGAGAATTTTTTTGATCGGAAAATGAGGGCAGCTACCGGCGCAGTACTTTAAAATCATTTCAAGTAAAAGGATAGGCAGTAGCTCATCGCCACCCAAAGGTTGACCTGAAAAAAAAAAAAAAAGTGTTTAAAAAGTACGTGACGAGTACCACTAACACAGATTGTATTACAATGTGGAATTTACAAGAATGCACCATAATTTTTTTGTCCACCTTCTCCTGGTCATCTTCAGAGGCATTTTTCAATCAGCCCGCTAACTTAGTAATGAATAAAGGGGGCATGTTTCTAGGGAAACTGTAGTGCTGCTTTGGTGGAGCTATTAAAAGATATGAATCTGTAATGATTCAATTTAGCACCCTCGTTCCAAAAAGCGCCCCCATCGAATTCGTTTTGTTTAAAAAGTGCCCCTTTTCTACTAAGCGCCCCTATTGAGTAAGCACCCTCATTCCAATAGGCGCCTCTAGACCAATAAGGGCCCCTATTCCGTTTCAGTGATAACACTGTTAGAGTACATGTACATTGAGATCAACCTTGGTTCATCTTCCTTTCATTGCTCTCATTAAGCCTCGTGACAAAACTGTTCTTCTTGTCTCAGTCTCTTAACTATTATGTCCATGTGAGTGCACAGTTCTTTCAGTTATTTTCAGTCCTTTTCAAATAAACATCGAAGCTTTGTTACAAATTCTGCTGTTCCTCGAAGGAGAAATAAGCGCTCTACCCCTAATAAGCGTCGTGTTTCGAATAAGCGCCCTCCCTTGAGGTAACTGAAGTGAATAAGCGCCCGGGGCGCTAAAACGGATCATTACTGTAAGTTAATAATGAAACTTGGCCACCGTAGAGAGTTTCTAAAGCTGACGTTCCCAGCGTTAGCCCTATGTCAGAGAGGATACATTCGAAATGCCTGACGCTCAATACGCTAGCTTCAGAAACGGTGGCCTATTTACATTATCAACTCAGTTGGTCAAACCAAACCAACTTGCCAAATGTTCAGCAGAGATAGAAGAAACCAGAAGGAGAGACGGGTTTACATACTCAGTTCGTTGAAAAATGCATTCTGTGCTTGAGCTAACTCAACTGATTCACTGGGATCTGCACATCGCATCACCTCAACTATGGTGTAGATGATGTTGAGATACACTCTAAATTAAAGAGAAAAGAAATAGTATTTACTGTGCATAATTGTAAATCCACAGTCACTGGTGAGTCATTTGGATAAATGCCCGTATAATTCACCTCACCCTTTCACACCCAAGATCTCATTAGGGATTCTCCCTACTGCCTAATATACACTTCTTATGATGGTTTGGAGAATAAGGCATTGG